TCATGGGGATCCACCAAGGTTTTTGAGTTTTGCACCAGCAGTAATGCTAACAGTTTGAATGAAAGTGACAGAGATAACACAAAAGTCCATACTGACATGTGGGCCTGTTTGGCAAGCCAAGAGGACAGAGGGCTGTTACCAAACTCTTAAACAATTTCTCAGCAGTAGGTTGGTCCTGAGCCAGGTGTGGTGGTGCATGCCTGTTACCCCGCTCTTGGGAAGCAGACATAGCAGCAGCACTACTGGTTGAGGCTTGCCTGTTCTACTTAGCAAGTTTCAAGACAACTAGGGCATTATAGTAAGGCTCTGTCTAAAAAAAAAACAGGAGGCACAGGCTGGGCGGTGGTGGCGCATGTCTTTAATCCCAGCACTATGGAGGCAGAGGCAAGCAGATCTCTGTGAGTTTAAGGCCAGCCTGGACTACAAGGGCTAGTTCCAGGACAGGCTCCAAAGCTACAGAGAAACCCTGTCTCGAAAGTAGAGAGGAGGGGTAGCTTCCTGGATAGCCTATGTGTTACTGGTTTCTACTGAGATGATCAGTTGGATCTATAAGTCACACATACTGGCAAATGACTAGCTACAATCTGGCAATTTTCTGACAGCTGTTTTCCCTTAGGGTCTAGTATTGTATTCCCCGTTTCCATCTGAGCCCTCATCAGAAGGTCCTCAGTGCCCACATTTCTATACTAATGTTGTTCCCCGGGTGTTTTCCATGGTGTGTGCATCCTTTAGGATGACAGCAGTCCTTCTTCCCGAACCATCACCAGCATCATCCTTATCCTCCGTGTACCAGTTGTCTCCAACAAATCTAGGCTCTAGTGTCCATGCACTTCCTGTTGTGCAGGCCCAAAGCCACTTCAACACTTCAATATGCCAGCTATTTATGTAATAGTATCTCTCTATCTCTCCCCACAAGCAGAATCTTTTTTTTTTTTTTTTTTTTTTTTTTTGGCTTTTCAAGACAGGGTTTCTCTGTGTAGCTCTGTAGAACAGGTTAGCCTCAAATTCAGGCTAGCTTCTGCCTCCCAAGTGCTGGAATTAAAAGCATGCACCACCACCACCTGGCAGAATATTCAGTTTTTATGACTACTATAACAGAGTGTTGGGGACTGGGTAGTTTTAAACAACAAAAGTATGTTGTTTTAGTTCTGGAAAGTACAAGTCCAGTGAGGGTGTTGGCAACACTGCTCCTTCTGACACCTATAAGAAAGCACTCCTTGCTTTCCCAACTTTTGGTATATACTCTATGCCTCATCTCTGTTACCTTCTGTACCTGTGTTTTAGCCTTGTCTCCTCTCTCTCTCTCTCCCTCTCTCTCCCCCTCTCTCTCTTTGTTTTTTGTTTTGGTTTTTGAGACAGTTTCTCTGTAGCTTTGGAGCTTATCCTGGAACTCCCTCTGTAGACTTCAAACTGGCTAGCCTCAAACTCACAGAGATCTGCCTGTCTCTGCTTCCCGAGTGCTGGGATTAAAGGCGTGTGCCACCACCACACAGCTTAGTATCCCATCTTAACTAATTACATCTGTATCAACTCTGTTTACAAATAGCTCACATTCTGAGGTACTGAGGGATCAGACATGAGAGGGACACAATTTACCAGCAGTACCCATTGTTACATTGTGGTTGCTCAGGAGCTGGGCACTGGAACCAGGTCTCCCACGCTTGCTGCTGCCTGCCAGGGATGGCATTGGTACAGGCCACTGGTGCAGGAGCCATTCCTTGCCAGATAGCATGCCATAGGAGCCTGTGCCTTGTTCATCTGGACCTGGCTGGAACCCACTGGATTATTCTTACTGATTCCTGCCCAGGCTATGCGGACCCTCAGTTGGAAGCACACCCTGGGATTGGTGACAATGGATGTGGAGCTGGCTGACCGTACCCTGTCTGTTGCAGTGACCCCAGTGCAGGCAGTGGTCTTGCTGTATTTCCAGGACCAAGGTGAGTCCCTAGAACCCCATCTGGTCTGCCTGAGCACACTACCTTGGGGCCACTAGGCACTACTTGTCTAATGAGCAGTGAGGTGATACACTGTCCCTGTGTCCCATCATTGTTCCCCATCCTCCCCCTCCCAGGTGGGCAGGATTTAGGGGGTAGCAACCATTCCTTTTACCCATGAGTCAAGCTGGACAGTGCACATCCCTTTGGGGGCCCAGCTGGTTAACTGTATTGGAGAAGGTATAAGCTCCAGTGTACCCTGCATTCCTGTGATTCTGCACACAGCCAGCTGGACCCTGGAGGAGCTGAGCAAGGTGGTAAAGATGCCTGTGGCACTGCTGCGAAGGCGCATGTCAGTGTGGCTGCAGCAGGGTGTGCTGAGGGAGGAACCTCCAGGCACTTTCTCTGTTATTGAGGAGGAGCGGCCTCAGGACAGGGACAACATGGTGCTGATTGACAGTGATGATGAGAGCGACTCTGGCATGGCGTCCCAGGCTGACCAGAAGGAAGAGGAATTGCTGGTGTGTTGGCCACTTCCATAGTGGGCTGGGGGTGGGCCAAGTAGGTGACTGTCTGACCATCCCTGCCTTCTGTTCCTAGCTCTTCTGGACGTACATCCAGGCCATGTTGACCAACTTAGAGAGCCTCTCTCTGGAGCGCATCTATAGCATGCTCCGAATGTTTGTCATGACTGGCCCTGCTCTGGCTGAGATTGACCTGCAGGAACTCCAGGGCTACCTGCAGAAGAAGGTCCGCGACCAGCAGCTCATCTATTCTGCAGGTGTCTACCGCCTGCCTAAGAGTTGCAACTGATGTCCCTCTTCTGGGCTCTAACCCATAACATTCATGCCTGTGTGGCCACTGGATAGACAGCTAGAGTACCTTCTTATCCCCCATGTGTCTGTGCCTAGCCCCCATCCGTTCCCTAACACCCAAAGTACAAATTAAAATTAAAGTAGATTGGTTCATCTTTTCGTGTAGTTTTTTTGGACCCTTGAACACATACATTAGCTCTATAGGGCCTGTGCTCCCAGCAGCAGGTAATGCAGTAGACTCCCTGAAGCTGTCTTCTATAGGCTGCCCATGACCCGCGCTTGTGTGGGTAAAAGTAAGTAGGGTTAGCTCTCCAGACTCTCCTGAGTTAGCCCCATCCTGCTTCTGTGGTCTTTAAAGGAACTCTTGGATCTTCACTTCTCTGTAGCCTATGTGGAGTTAATGCCAGGCTTTGTGGTGTTAGGACATTTGCACCCACCAGGTCTTCCAAAGTGAGGCAACCTGAGTCAGATACACTCCTTGTGTGCAGCAGACAATAGCCACTTAAGGACATAATCTAGTGCCCAGAGGATTAGATCTTTGTCCCCCTTTCTTGCACCAGATATTACATATTACATGTATGTATTCAGATTCTTTGATGTCCTCAAGATTTGCAGTCAATTTATGGACAAGGGCAGGGGTGAGAGGAAAACCAGGAACCAATTTAATCCTTTCCCTCAAGTTAGGGCCCAGCCACCCTGAAAAGCAGGCTGTGTCCCAGATGCCAGCTGAGGACAGGCTAGGACCTGGTGGGGCACAGTGTGGACTCCTGCTTCCCTGTCCCAGAACAGCTGTTTGTCGGCAGGAAATACCCGGACCTGAGGCACCATCTCAAAGGGAACAAAAGCTCTTTGGAATCATTGCTTGCACATCCTGATTGTTGTCCAAGGTGGATCCCAGACCACAAGCCACACCCAGTCTCAGCTGCTGCCACTACCCCTAGATGCCCTTCTTAGTCCCTCATCCTCAGCTACTGGCTTTGGCTTATTCTGTACTTGGGTCCTGAGCAGAAATCCCCTTCAAGGGTTTCACCTCACCCTTGCTGTTTTAGAGGAATCTTCTCACCTCAGGTTTTAAAGGGCTGGAGGCAGGTATTAGGCACAACATGACCTTGGCTATAGCCTGAGGGCTCCCATAAATGTAGGAAGCCTTGTTCACAGTATTTCAGAAATGAGGTTTTTTCTCCTCTAGTCCCAGTTCTCAGACCCTGCCCTACCCCACTTAAGTGCTATTGCTACAAGAATAACTGTCAGGTGCCGGGGTGGGGGTGGGGGTTTGGCATGTGCCTTTAATCCCAGCACTCGTGGCGTGGCTGAGGCAGGTGGATCTTTGTGAGTTCAAGACCAGCCTGGTCTACAAGAGCTAATTTTAGGACAGGCCCCAAAGCTACAGAGAAACCCTGCCTCCAAAAACAAAACAAAACAAAACCTGTTAGAGGCCATGAAGGTGTTCCTATCTAGTTCATACCACCTGGCCACAGATGGGTGTGTCTTTGTCCTAACCAGGATATAAACTTGCTAGGCTGGCCTGGTAGGGTGACAGTGCCAGCCCCTGGACCTCAGGCACACCTTCTGCCCTGCATTCTTTTAGACTAAGTTTGTGGACGTATCTTAAAAGACCAGAGAGAAGTCTTGGTTCCCATGGTTTAACCAATACAAAACTCATGTCAGGAGTTGTTTCTCGACCAACCCTATAAGGGTACCCGTGTCTGCTGTCAGGGATGTCCCCAGTGATGAGGGCCAGTGGGTTCAAGCTGTGCCCTCCCCTCCTGGCACCGTGTTGGCTCCAGCTGGCAGGAGGCTGGGCTCAGTCAGCTGCAGGGCTGACATTTCCTCCTACTGCCTCTTAGTTTGCTTGGCAGGTCTCATAGAGGAGAGTGGCTGCCGGGTGGGGCTGCATCTCAGCCTGGGACACCAAGTTCAGGACAGAGGTGTAGGTTAACCCTGACCATGCTAGCCTGTAGGCAAACTAGTTCCCTTGGGCAGCGGCTGTCTGATTATAGTCAACAGACTATATTTATATTTATTAGTTGAGCTCCGACTAATAAAAGGTGTGAATCAGAGACTGCAACCCTTTCTGAGCTATCTGCTCCCTGGGGTGTTATTCTCAGGATATGGTACGGTGCCCTACGCAGGCATATGTAGCCAGTGACTCTCCCATTCCAATAGATGATCAAGGATTCCTTAGGATACCAGCAGTCCCTTAACCTGGACTAAAGGCTGTATGAGCTCAGTCCTCCAAAGCAACCAAGGAGGGCAGCTGAACACATATACTCACCCCACCTCCCATAGCCTCTTTGTCCCCTACCTGCCTCAACTTGGGGAGGGTTTTGTTGACGGGAAGTCTGGTAGAGCTCTAACTCCACTCAGAGGTCTGATGTGGACAAGCAAACTGTGGTCTTGGTCCCCAACACCAGAGGGCAAAGTGAGGTTTATCTAGAGCTGCTCTCTGTCTGTAAAACAGTAGCCCTAATATCCCGCAGCAGATCTGGCTAGAGCTTGCAAACCCTGTCCCCTTTACCTGCTCCATTCAGGGCTGTCCGCCCAAGACTCCTACAATTCCAGTATGCCTGGGTTCTCTGAGGCCCTGCCCCCACACCCTCTGCCTCCCAGCCCCACTGTGAGGTCAGCACCTTCCAGTGAGTTCCGTCTAGAGGTGTGTGGTGGGACTGGGGGCTGAACATGGCCCCCTGTCCCCAGCCTGACTCCTGCCCTGCTGGCAGCCCCCTTGGTCTGATATGTTTGTCCCTTTTGCTCATCCCTGCTGCAGGTGCCTCCTCCCACTAGCGCCCCCCCCCCCCCCCCCCAGCCAGAGTCCTACCCTTTTCCAAGCAGGGCAAGCCATTTGTGTCCTGAGAGCCACTGGGGTGGCGGGTGAGGGGACGACCTGAGGTCGTCCACAGGCAGGTGACTGGCTCCTGGTCTTGTGGCCTTGTTTCTGCAGCTGGAACCTACTGTGAATGCAGCCTTGGCCTCAGCCGTGAGGCCCTTATTGCCCTCATTGTGGTACTGGCTGGTGTCAGTGCCAGCCTCTTCTGTGCACTCGTCGTTGTGGCGATTGGTGTCTTTCGGGCCAAGGGGTGCGTGAGCTTGGGGTTGGGCGCAATGGGAGTAAGGCCATGCTACAGGCCCTGGGCTGTTAGCCATGCCTTGAGGGGCCTCTTCCTGGGGTGGCATGTCATGAGAGGCTGGGGATAATATTTTCCAGGGTGTGTGTTGGGTATGGGGGTTCCAGGAAGAGGTTCCAGGGGGCTTCCAGGCATGTGGGAAGAACATTTCTCCAGAATTCACACCTGCCTTTGTCCCCCTCAGTGATTCGTGCCCCGGACACACAGAAAACAGGTAAGTGCGCCAGAGAAAGCCTCGGGTGAGCTGTGTCCTCTGTCTGCCCGCTCCTGGAAGTAGAGATCACAGTGGCATCCAGAGCAATGTCTTCAAGGGCCAGCTCCTCTTGGGTGGCCAAGGCCCTGCCAGATCATGATGACCCCGCCCATCATGCAGGTTGATGGGGCGCTGCGGGGTCCGGGCAGATCGCATGGACCTGCACTCGGTGCACGTGGAGTCCCACCTCATGGACCGTGACCTGGAGGTATCCATGATGCCGCCCTTGGACAACCAGGGCCTAATGACCATCCCCATGGAGGTTCCTCTAGAGGAGCCTCCTCCACCACCTCCACCCCCACCTCCTCCACCGCCAGAGTAGCGGAGGGCAGCTAGGCTGGGGAATTAAACAGTATTTAGTGATTGTGTGCTGTCCTTCTTGCAAGTCCCTCGAGGTAGTGTTTGTCACGGGTAGTAGATCACGGAAGGTGTCTCCACCCAGGGGCAGAGCCAGGGTTTTCAGCTCCTAGCCCAGCGGGCCAGTTCAGCTTTTCTCTGCACCTTCCTACTGTTGGCTTTACAAAGATGACTGACCCTGGACCCTTTTTATTTCCTAGATTTCCCAAGACAGGACTTGTAGCTAGCAAGTCCAAAGGGAGCTGCATTGCCCAGACTTGAGCCAGCACTCCTTTCTACTAATACTGTCCTCAAGGGCTCCAAGGGGGAGGGGGTTGGAGCAACCACTTGCCTACACTCCCTTTTTTACCTTAGGTTTGCCATCCCTCCTACACTTTTAAGGTCTTTCCTTCCGTTTATACCTCCTCCAATCCTGTCAAGGGACTGGACAGTCTCTATAGGGTCTTTTTGCTGAAAAGGTATGAAATTGAGACTGGGGTATGGAGCAAGGTATTGTGGGTCGCATTCTATGTGGAGCTGGTGGGTTTGATCCTGCTCTTTAGGTCTCAGTGGGGCGTCCAGTGGTCTCATCAGCTCCACTATGGGCTCAGAGCCAAGCCAAGCCAAGCCCTGGACAGGTGGTTGGCAGTATTGGTCTTTGGCTCTGTGCCTAGCCCCCGCCCAAGGCGAAGAACCAGTTGTGGGACAGAAACTGTTGTGCTCGGGCAGGAGAGTTAATACTTCTGTAGGTGAGGCAGGGACAAACTCCGGGTCATCTGCACTCCGAAGCCGCACAGGGATCTAGGTCCCCTTGTCTTCTCGAGCAGCCCCCATGCGGGGCTCTTTTTTCTCGCGGCTTCTGCCGCAACTGTCTCTACTGCTGCTGCTGTCGTTGAGGAGAGTCTGGACACAGGAGCACGTTGGAACTACCCCTTCCAGATCCCCGGCGGCCCCCGAGTGCCCCGAGGCATGTTCATGTTCACTAGGTGGCAAGGCCAATTGCTCCGCACTCGAGCTGCCCACGGTACCAGCGGGCCTGAGCTGGAGAATAAGCTCACTGCTTCTGGATCACAATCGCATAAGCGCGCTGCCTCCAGGTGCCTTCGCTGGGGCGGGCGCGCTGCTATACTTAGACCTGCGGGAGAACCGGCTCCGGTCAGTGCACGCTCGAGCTTTCTGGGGTCTAGGCGTGTTGCAATTTCTAGACCTGAGCGCCAACCAGTTGGAAACTCTGTCTCCCGGCACCTTCGTGCCGCTCCGCGCGTTGCGTTTTCTTTCCCTAGCGGGTAATCGGTTGACATTCCTGGAGCCTTCGATCCTGGGCGCGCTCCCATTACTGCGCGTGCTCAGCCTGCAGTACAATTCACTGTCTGCGCTCGAGGCGGGTTTGCTGAATAGCCTGCCCACGCTCGACGTGTTGCGCTTGCGTGGCAACCCCTGGGCATGCAGCTGCGCGCTGCGTCCGCTTTGCACCTGGCTGCGCAAGCACCCGCGTCCCGCTTCAGGTGAGCCATCTGGGGCGCAGGACAGATAATGTTTGGTGCAATTGCTGCCATCTGATGCCGCTCCTGTGTCCCGCAGAAACTGAGACCCTGTTCTGCGTGTCTCCAAGACGCCAGACGCTCAGCCTACTGACAGCCTTTCCGGACGCGGCCTTCAGACACTGCGCTCAGACACTCGCAGCGCGAGACCTGGCGGTGGTATACGCTCTCGGGCCGGTCTCTTTCATCGCCAGTCTGGCCATCTGCCTGGCGTTGGGCTCCGTGCTCACTGCCTGTGGTGCACGGCGGCGCCGCGGCCGCACCACGGCACGTCCCTTACTAAGGAGACCGCTGGACCCCGAGGGTCCAACCTCCCAGGAGGATGCTGGGAGTCCTGCAGCGGCTGCAACCCAAGCCTAAGGGGGCTGCGGTTGTTTCTAGCGCTCCCGCAGTGCTCTGCACTTTGAAAACTGTCCCCCAATCCCTAGCCTCCCTTCAAACTCCCTGTAGGCGTCAACAATAGACAAAAAACCGGAAAATTTCTGACATTCCTTTAGGCATCACCACTGAATACCGGGGTTGGGGTAGCTGTGCGCGCCCGGTGTCCCTGGGGCAGAGGGGTAGCACGCTACTGCGCACCAGCGGCACGGGGAAGGCACGCGCTTGGACACTGGGAGAGCAGGTCATGTACAAGGTGGTGGGTGAATGACACCCGAATGGGAGGCGGATGGCGCTCCCTGGTGCCCAAGGTGCGGGGCTCGTTGCGAGCCAGCGTCTGAGGAAGCCTATTGTGGCTGTAGGCAGAAGAGAAGGCTCAGCCCTCTTGGAGTCTGGAGCCCTAGACAGCTGGGAGCCAGAGAGCACCCCTGGGAAGCGCTGCCAGTAGGGCAGTGAGGGCTGACACTGGGAAATGTCAGGGCCAGCCCTGCGAATGGGGTAGGGAAGGGTCGTGGGAGGGTGGTGCAGCAGGAGAGAGAGCCTTCCAACCCGAGGAGGAACTCAGGTTGCAGAGAGCAGGCGCTGGAGGAGGGGTGGGTGGGTGACCTAGCCAGCTGGGGCCATGGGCCCCCACTGTAGCTTAGGGTGGAGGCTGGAGGAAGGATGGGGCTGCCATTTCTGCTCCAGACCCCTCCGGCCGGGGGCCACTTAGGCCCCTCACCCCACTGCTCAGAGACCCCAGGGCCCTGCCTCTGCCGGAGCGCCCTGTGGCCCTGCCCAGCCGGCTCAGCTCTGGCCCATCCTCAGCCGCTCTGGTCCGCACCTTGGTCCTGCAGGGGCTGCCTGCCAGGCAGCAGGGCAGGCGGACGGGAGGCCCAGGGTGGGCAGTCTCTGGGGCGGGTGGGCTTCCCTCAGGCCTTCCCGAGCAGCAGGACTCATCAGTGTCCTTGGCCGGGCTAACTGGGCAGGTGGGCGCCTCCGGGGGCCTCACACCACGGTGCTGACCGAGGGATCTGAGAGGTTGAGCGGGCCCGTGATATCAGTGGGATGGTACTGCTGTAAAATAGAAATACACAGACAAGGCGGCCCGTTAGCTCCGACGTCGGGGGCACGCGCGGGGCCGGGACAGGGTGGACCGGCCAGCCGGCCGACCGGCGGGCAGGCGGGCACGGCCTGGGGGAGGCTGGGGGTGCTCCTCCCCCGACCCCGTCGTGCTCCGGGGTTCTGCGTGGGCCAGGCCGCTGTCCCGTGCGTCTGTCTGTCTGTCTGCGGGGGAGGGGCAGAGGAGGGCGGGCGGGGCGTCTCAGCTCTCCCTATGACGGGAACACAGCTGCAGCTGGCCCTCCTCCCTCTCAATAGCGCGTCGCGGCAGCACTGTGTCTTTTTGGTTTTGCAAAGCGCCGCGTCCACCCCCGGTGCTCTATAAATAAGAACCAACAATCAATACCTGCTGGCCCTGCCGGCCACCAGGGATCCCAGCCCTGAGCGCCCAGTGCTGCCCTGGCCCGGACCGGCCACAGGACAGGGGCAGAGGATCTCAGCAGCTGGACCGACCCCACCCCACCCAAAGGAGCCCCCACCCAAGCCTCCCTCTGAACAGCACCCAGCCCCGGAGGCAGGGTGCAAGCTGGGTTGCCCTCCCCCACCCAGCCCACAGTGGCAATGCCCAGAGGTCAACCCTGCAGGGTGGGGCCAGCTTCAGATGGCCCGGAAGAACGGGTCCCTGGTGCCCAGGGAGGCTCAGGTAAAGACTGAACTGAGAACACGTGCCCAGAAAGGAACCGTGTAGATTTCTGAGCTTTACCTGGCCAGTTCCAGATGGGGCCCCAAGACTGAATGACACCCTCTTGAAAATGGCCTGCCACCTGCAGGAATTTTGTACTCTCCCCACTTTGGCCACCTGGCCCCAAAAGTACAGATAATCCTCTCTGTCGGATTTCCCCTTTCCCCCACAAGTTTCTGCCCACAGCGCCCTCGGCCCTGCTCTCCCTCCCCGGCAGCCCCTTGTGGGAATCCTGGCTCAGATCTTGTAGGTAACATAGGCCGTGCCCTCTCTCCCTGGTCTGGGAGACCCTGGAGGCTGTCTTTGCACCAGCTCCTGGAGCCTCACGGTGGTGCAGCCCACAGACCCTTCGGCTTCATCCACTCTTTCTGTACCAGGGCCCTCAGAGAACTGAGCAGCCATGCCTCATAGGTCTCTCTGGAGCACTCGAGTAGTCTGAGCCTGGAAGTTCGATTGCTCTGCACCAAATCCTGTCTGTGTGTCTTTCTTCCTGAGCATAGGGCTTTGCCACAAATCCAGATTCCTCATGGGACACAAGCCCCTTGTGGGTGACACTGGCTAGAGGGGCTGCTTCTTGGCTACGACCAGGGTGACTAGCAAACTGGGGATTCTTTGGAAGACTTTCTTTTGAGTATGCATTTCTGGTTTGGTGGCGTGCTGCCCACGGCAGGGGACAGGGTTCTGAAGGCAGATGGTATGGTTCTGACGATGGCCATGTGGCAGTGCTTGGGGGTCTGAGCTGAAACACTGGTCTTAGTCTCCCCTTCCTGGGCCTCCCTCTGAGTGTTGCCTTGTGTGTTCAGGCCAGGGTTTTCAGGGACACCCTGTCTATGCTCAGATCACCTGAGCGCTGCTGCCACACCTCCATCAGGGACCTGTTCAACTTGGCCCCACCCCACTGCCCACCTGACGGTCTCCCTGTGACCAAGGGTCAGTGCCAATGCTAGGCCCCAGTCGTCCACCCAGATGGACCCAGGCCCAGCCCCCAGCCCCCGGCCCACACAGAGACCACATGGAAGATGCAACACGCATGGCTCTGGTGAGACAGGTGAGACAGGTGTCTGGGGGGCGGGGCCAGTGGCCAGACAGACGGACGGGATGGGACATCACAGCTACACCCTCCAGAGCTGTTGCAGAGCAAGAACGAGGCCTCAAGCCCCTTGTGGAGGCAAGAGAAACAGGGATGAAACAGACGTGGTGTGGCATCCTGGCAGGGACAACCTGGGACAGGGCTACTCTAGTTCCCAGGGTCTGGGTAGCCCAGAGAGATGGTGAGGCTGACTGACTGACCAACAACATGACATGGCTTCCAGATGGTGTGTGGGTCATGGCATGGGGAGGGAGGTGGGCAGACTAACGTGGAGACACATGGGGGAAGCTGAGGACCAGTGAGGGCTTGAGGAGAGTTCTGGAGAGTTCTAAAGGACGGCACCCTTGTATGGGTGGAGGGTGGGTGATGGACTGACTCGGGGCATCGGCACGGATGGCCAGGGTTGGAGGTGGGGACAGGGGTGGGATGGTGAGGGAGGACAGACATGGGGCAAGGGAGGAGTCAGAGACGCGGGACTGGGGTGCTTCCCCCTTACCGTGTCTTTGGAGGACCTACGTCTCTTGAAGCTGGAGGCCAGGGTGGAGGTGATAGCCCTAAATGTGGCTTTCTTTTTAGGGTCGGGCTCTGCTCTACCACTCTTTCTATCCTAAAATGAATATGTATAAGTGATTAGATGGCTAAGGGTGGCGGCCACACCTGCCCTTGCCTGCTCCTTGGGCGCCGCTGCCAGGCCTGGCCGGCCACTCAGGCCCTGAATCCTGCCTGCCTCACTGTGCTGAACAGACCGACCAACAGCCAGACTTTTGAGAGCGGCCTCTTCTGCCCAGGGTTGGGCCTGTCCTTGCTTGTGCTGGGGCTGGGCTTGGGGTCCTGCTGGCACTCTTCCTAGAATGTTCGCCTGGCTCCCTGGCTCCTGGGTGGCCCTGGCTTAGAGGCATCCTGAGGAGGAGGAGCCCCTGAGGACAGGAAGAGCTTCCTCTCGGGCCACACCAGCCCCTTTGTTCAGAGGCTGCTGACCCCAAAAGGCACACACCAGGAAGGGGCCAAGGACCCAAGGAGGTGTCCAGTTGGAATTGGAGTGATAGACAGAGGCAGATCCGGGGGCACTGGCCTGGAGTCTGATGGCCAGCATGGCCCTGGACAGCTGTGGCCAGGTCCCCAGGGGACCTGTAGGGCCAAAAGCAAGAACGGGTGGATGAGAGATGTGGGGGCTCCAAGAGCCCTGTCCCCCCAACAGCCCTCATTGTAATGTCAATGTCAGCTCAGGACACAGCTCCAGCAAGACACCCAGAGAAAGAGAAGAGACAAGTGAATCGGAACCTGGCCGTTGGCCGCTAGTCTTCAGGCTTGCGTGAACCTCACTGCCCACCCTGTCCCTTTCCCTAGTGGCTTCTGACCATCCCACATGCAGCCTCATCCCTGTCAGTCACAAATCGACATGGATGTGGCCTGAGGCACCAGGTGAGGCAGATCACCCCATTTAGACTGGAGTCACAGAGTTGGACACAGTAAGAAAAGGGGTCTCCGGAAGGGGTGTCAAAGGAGCTGGGATGTAGCAGGCCAAATGCATCTCAGATCACATACTACACACAGGCGGGCCCTTGTCTTACCCTGCCTGATTGCCTTCCTATGGATTGGGTGCCAGTAGGTGACTCTGGAAACAGAGGGGCCAGGCAGAAGCTTGGAGCAGGGTGCATGGCCTCCCTTGGCCCAGCTTGGCAGTGGGTGGCCACCCGCAGGCAGCTCCTGCCTGTGCTGCCCCTGTGTCTTGGGAACACTCACCACTGCCCCTGGCCATGGCTCCTAGCACCAGTCCTGCCCATGAGCCAGAGCCAGTGCCACGGCCTGTAGGGATAGAGTAGGGCCGTGGCCTGGCGGGGCCCTGGACGCCAGGCCTCGGAGGGTGGCCTGTCCTACCTGCAGGTTCTTCCTCCACACGTTCACTGCTGCAAAAGCCAGCTGCATCTGCTTCCTACGGGCATCCTTGTGTCTTTTGTAGGCGATCTCGATGAAAATCAGGAAGATCCCAGCCACGATGCCTCCAGCCACCAGCATAAAGACCCCTGTGTGAAGTACCCAGTGCCTCATCTGGCTGCCCAGAGGCTGTAGCCCCCAGAGAATCCATCCCGGCATCAAGCAGCACGGAGGGCCCACCTGCCATGTTCTCAAAAGTGAGAGTCGCAGGAGCATTGCTGCGGGAGTCACATTCCTGATACCGAACCCATGTCTTATCCAGATCTTCCATGAAGCCATTCTCATGGGACCTGAGTAGGGAAGGGGTGAGGGAAGGCAGGGTTGGAAGCAGGAGTGGGACTGGAAATGGGCAGGGCTCGCATCTAGGAGTGGGGCTGTGTGAGTGTGCGGGACATTCAGTGGGAAGGACTGGGAGTGGGCAGGGCTCACAGGGGAGGCAGTACCATGGGACAGACTTTTCAGCCCAAGTGGGGCTTTGGTTTGTTTGTTTGTTTCGAGACAAGGTTTCTCTGTTGCTTTGGTGCCTGTCCTGGAACTAGCTCTTGTAGACCAGGCTGGCCTCGAACATCACAGAGATCCGCCTGCCTCTGCCTCCCGAATGTTGGGATTAAAGGCATGCGCCACCACTGCCTGGCTGCCAAGTGGGGCTTTGGAAATTAGGAAGCTTGTAGCCTTTGCTGAGCTGAGAGCGGGAAGGTTGTCCTGTGGGATTGATGCCTGGTTTGGGTGGAGTTTCCTTTAGGGCAGTTGTACCAGATGATATCGGTGTCTGGTGAACAGGCGCTGGCCTGGGGTAGAGCGGTTTGGTGTTTTGCCACTGGGGCACTACAGACAAGGTCTAACCTTGTGGGGGAGGCTCTTAAAGCCAGTGGAGAAGGGAAGAGAGGGCCCCAGCACAGGGCAGACTCACTTGAGTATGGACAGGGAAACATTCTGCTTCCAGGGGCTGTCCTTGCGCATGCCGATGCCGAAGCCTGAGCGGAAGAACAGCTCGCCCGTCGTCACCAGGTCACATTTCTGCGATGCCTCGAACTCCAGCACCGCTGAGTCCCAGATGAAGGCGTGGAGCTTGCTGCCGGCAGAGGTGGAGTCAAAGGCGCCCCGAGTAGCCTGGTCCCCCCCACCCTGCTCACACTTCAGGCCAGACACCCTTCGCTGTGTTTCCAGTGTGAGCGGGTCCCACCCAGCCAGGGCGGCCTTCTGTGTGCTCGCTCACTTGTCCCGCACAGCCTGGATGGCCTCGGCCGCGCTCTCGTAGTTGTGTTTCTCCATGTGCCGATACATGGTGCTCAGCTCCACCTGCCTCCGGAAGTAGATGTCCACGGAACTCTGCTTCACAGTTGCATAGATGAACTTGTCCGAGGGGTTTCTGAGCTGCAGTGACAGAGACCTCAGCTCACGGTTGCCCCCTAGGCCCCACCAGGAACAGACACTCCCTCTCAACCTCTTCACACACACACACACACACACACACACACACACGCACGCACGCACGCACGCACGCACGCACGCACGCACGCACGCATGCACGCACCGCCCCACAGCCCTGGGCCTCACCCTGGGGTCATTGATGCCTGTGATACGCTCCTCAGGCCGATCCAGCACCAGGAAGGCTGCCAGGTTGGCAGTATAGGAAGCCACGATGATCATGGCAAAACCAGCCCACACCATGCCTAGGATCCGTGCAGAGAAGCTCCGGGGAGCACCTGTGGGCAGAGACTTAGGTCAGTTTCCGGAAAGCAGGGGATGCAGTCGGGAAGGACCCTGGCTTCATCTCACCTTCCCCAATGCCAGAGTTGAGCAGGACACCCCAGGAGAACCACATGGCAGAGGACAGGGTCAGTGCATCCTCCTCTTCCTCCTCACTGTTCACCTTGAACCGGCCAAATGGACTGCAGGGCGCAAAGGGAAGGTGGGAGAGAGAGAGCGGGAGAGAGGACAGGAGAGGCAGCTCTGCCCAGCCCTGCCAGTTCTGCCCACCCTCTAGACGGAGGGGTCCAGCTCTCTCCACGGCGCTCACCTGAAGCGGTCCAGCAGATACAGCATTACAGCCACCACGTGCACTGACAGCCCCACTAGCAGCCACAGCGTGCTCTGGAAGGGCTGCATGAACGAGTCCAACGTGCTCCGGGGAATCTCCTGCAGGTGAATAGGTAATCAGCATTGCTTGGGCTCTCCATGTTCCCATCCCATCCCCACTTGAGCCCTGCTTACCTTCTTGACCAGAATGGTCAGGCCCTGGTACTTGAAGGGCTTGGAGAACTCTATGTACTGTGCACGCTCATTGTTGATGGTCAGTGGTGCCACAATCATGTCTGCTTGACCACTGAGCAGCTCTCCCATCATCCCATTCCACTCCTTTTTGTTGCTGTTGTTTACCTGCGAAGCGACAGAGCCAGTGGGGCTGCAGACAGGGTGGGCACGACATCTCCTGTTCTGTATCTAGCTCGCCTTAAAGCCCAGCCCCAGGCTCTCCTAACAAGGCTCTACCCATCCCCAAAGACTTTCCAATGAATCCATCTCAGCTCACAGGATCCTCCCACTAGCCCCTTCCTCCAGGCCCCGCCCCTGCCATCCACTCCATACCCGCTCCTGTGTGCCAAACTTGCCATCTGCCACCAGGTGGACCTCGTAGGTAAAGTTCATGGTCCGTGCCAACTTGATGAGCAGGTCAATGCAGAAGCCATAGCAGCACTGAGGCACCGTGTGGCGTGCTGTGGGCAGTTAGAGAATAGTATCAACGGGCTCCCGATTTCACCGCCCAGTACCCTGCCACACTCTGCCCGGCACTCACGGCTGCCTGGCGATGTGTCATTAGGCCCCGTGCAGATCACCTTCTTGACTGGGTCACCGTTAACCGTGAATTCCTCCTTGCATGTCCCATCACTCAGTGTGGGTTTGACGTACACAAAGGGCTCTTGGTGGATTGTCACTATCTGGGGGAAAGACAAGAACCAGCCTGGGCCACCTGCCCTTGGTTGTCCCCAGGGCTGGCTTCTCAGCACACCGCAACCCCTCATCTCCATCTTTCTTCCGGTCTTCTCTGAAATCCCCACCTGGGCCCTGTCCCAAGCCTGGAGCTCCCCACCACCACTGGTTTTCAGAGGTCAGTCCACATCCTTCTGCTGTGGTTAGCATTGCCTTCTGCCCTTGGGGTATGGATACAGGTCTGGGGAGGTGCTGAAGTGGGGCACAGACTTCCCCAGCCATCGGCCCTGACTCATCAAAGTGCCTTCTGCAATACTGTCCTCTTCTTGTAGCCCCTTTCCTCAGATCCCAGTCCATACATCACTCAATCGGAGTATGACTGTGTAGTATTTACTTGTGGACTGGGCACGATCTCTGACCAATCACACAGGAGAAACTCTGCATCCTTGCCAGAGCCACCCTGGCCTCCACTGGCATGTAGCCTTCAGTCTTTGACCCTTGTCTTTTTATTTTTATTTATTTTGGTTTTTTTTTTTAATTATTTATTTATTTTATATACAATATTCTGTCTGTGTGTATGTCTGTAGGCCAGAAGAGGGCACCAGACCTCATTACAGATGGTTGTGAGCCCCCATGTGGTTGCCGGGAATTGAACTCAGGACCTTTGGAAGAGCAGGCAGTGCTCTTAACCTCTGAGCCATCTCTCCAGCCCCTTATTTTGGTTTTTTGAGACAGGGTTTCTCTGTGGCTTTGGAGCCTATCCTAGAACCAGCTCTTGTAGACCAGGCTGGTCTTGAACTCACAGAGATCTGCCTGCCTCTGCCTCCCGAGTGCTGGGATTAAAGGTGTGCGCCACCACCGCTCAGCTTTATTTTTTCACTTTTTTAAAATTAATTAATTATTTATTTATTTATTATGTATACAATATTCTGCAGGCCAGAAGAAGGCATCTCATTACAGATGGTTGTGAGCCATCATGTGGTTGCCGGGAATTGAACTCAGGACCTTTGGAAGAGCAGGCAATGCTCTTAACCACTGAGCCATCTCTCCAGCCCCCTATTTTTTCACTTTTTAAATTTATTTTATTCAATGTACACTGGCGTGAGGGTGTCGGATCCCCTGGAAGTGGAGTTACAGACAGTTGTGAACTGCCATGTGGGTGCTGGGAATTGAACCCCGGGTCCTCCCCTGGATCTTCTCTCCAGCCCTACTCTTGTCTTTTTAAAAATTCCTTTCCAAGGGTTGGCTCAGCAGTTAAGAGCACTGACTGCTCTTCCAGGGGTCCTGAGTACACATGGTGGCTCACAACCATCTGTAATGAGATCAGGCATACATGCAGGCAGAATATTGTATACATAATACAGTATTGTACATAATACAGTATGTATGTTTTTTTACATAATAAACAAATAAATCTCTTTTAAAAAAATTCCTGGGGCTGGAGAGATGGCTCAGTGGTTAAGAGCACTGACTGCTCTTCCAAAGATCCTGAGTTCAATTCCCAGCAACCGCATGGTGGCTCACAACCATCTGTAATGAGATCTGGTGCCCTCTTCTGGCCTGAAGGCATACAGGCAGACAGAATACTGAGAATACTTTAAAAAAAAATCCTTTCCATGTATGTTTGTGTTCCTGTGTGCTCATGCATGTGTGCAAGTGCACACGGAAGCCAGAGGCCAATGTCAGGTGTCTTTCTCTGTCACTGTCTATTTTTATTATTTAATCATTTTTATTTTATTATTTATTTTATTTTATGTGTGTGCCTGAGTATAAGAGCCCACCTACAGAAATCAGAAGGAGGCATCAGAAGCCCTGGAACTGGAGTCACAGATGGTTGTGAACTGCCATGTGGGTTCTGGGACTTGAACCCAGGTCCTCTGAAAGAGCAATGAGTGCTCTTAACCTCTAAGAGGCTATCTTTCCGGTCCCTATTTTATTTTAAAGATTTGTTTATTTTTATTTTATGTGTGGGGGTGTTTTGCTGGCAGATATGTCTGTGCTCCAGGTGCATTCAGTGCCCATACAGGTTAGAGGGAACACTGGCTCCCCTGGAACTGCAGTTCCAGTCACTGTGAGCTGCAGTGTGGATGCTGGGACTTGAATCCCGGTCCTCTGGAGAGCAGTCAGTGCTCTTAACCACTCAGACATCTCTCCAGCTCCTCTATTATTATTATTATTATTATTATTATTATTGAGACAAGTTTTCTTCACTAACCCTGGAGCACAGTAATTGGTCATGCTGGTCACCCAGCAAGCTCTGGTGACTGTCTCTGCCCGCTCGCTCCACCAATGACATGGTTAACAAGGAGTACAGAACGTGGCCATGCCCAGACTTTTACATGGATGCAGAAATCCAAATTCATGCTACTCATTGGGCTATTTTCCAATACCCCCCCTATTTTTTTGAGAAAGGGTCTTACTATGTAGCTCAAGCTGATGTGGAATCCCTATGTAGACCATGGTAGCCTTGAACTCATAGAGATCCACCTGATCCTGACTTCTACATACCAGAATTAAAGGCATGTCCTACCAACTCCAGATTTTTTTTTTTAAAGACAGAGCCACATGGAGTCCAGGCTGGCCTCTTGCTATGTAGCTAAGGATAATCTTAACCCCTGATTGTCTTTCATCTGCCTCCACAGTGCTGGGTTTAAAGGTAAGCTCCACCACGCTCAGTTAATGCTCCTCTTTCAGGGCTGCCTCTTCAGCACACACTTTGGCTTTGGCCCTCTTCCCTCTCTGTCCCCAAGAAACCACAGTCTGGTGGCTGGGGAACAGGTACAAGTCTGAGGTACGCTGGAACGGAACACAGTCGGCTGCTAAGGGTCTCGATGGGATGTGGAGAACAGAGGTGTAGGCAGACCAGGAAGGACTGGACGGCAAAGCCGGATGTGGTGACAGGCAGTGGAGGAGGACACTCAGCTGGGAGTCAAGGGAAGGGGACAGGACCATTTTCCTTTTTCTCTTATACAAGTATAGGTGCTAGTGCTGTCAAACATTTGGCGAGGGGGCGTGACAAACGGCTCAGCAGTTAAGAGGACCTGCAGTTACAGATGACTCAATTCTGTTCTTACCACCCACAGAGTGGCTCACAACCATCCATTCCTATTATGGGAATCCTGCATTTTCTTCTGCCCTGGGGGCACCAGACATACACATGGTACATATATATGTATGTATATACACCATACACACATTTATGTATATATATGATATACACACATATATGTATGTATATATTATACGCAGGCAAAACACTTATACCACATAAAATGAAATGTAACAAATCAGTGACTCCAGAAACATGGCTAATAGCCATCTGCACCTTGATAGGTCCTCTTGGTTAGTGATGCTTGTTTTGTTTTGTTTTTAGTTTTTGAAACAGGGTTTCTTTGTATAGCCTTGGCTGTCCTGTAACTAGCTGCATAGACCAAGCTGGCCTTGAACTCATAGAGATCCACCTGCTTCTTCCTCCTAGGGCTGGGATTAAGGGCGTGGGCCACTCCCCAGTGCTTTCAGATTTGGCAACTTCAGGTGCATGAACTGCAAAGAGATATGACCCTGGCTATGGGAGGTGACATGCTGACTCATCCCGGGAGAATGGAGGTGGGCACTCGCCAGGTGAGACCATGGGGGGGGTCCCAGATATTTGACGGCACTGAGAGAAGGGTGGCTGGGCACGTGGCACTTCAGATCCTGTCCTTGGAGCTCTATGGTATCATGTTGCTGTGGCTCAACATGAAGAGGAACTCGGAATAGTTCTTAGGCAGAGGGAAGGTTACATGGATGAACCCAGGGAATGTGTGAATCAGGCTGGGAAGAGGTTACAAAGGAGGAAGTCAGATCAAGAAGGGGGTTCCCGGGATCCCGGGGAGAAAGGGGACACTCAAGAGCATAAATTCTAAGCTGAACTCTGCCCTTCAGCCCAGAGTACCCACCCACTGTCTCTCTGCCCCCACTAATCAGTTCTTCTCAGACTTTGCTGAGCTGGGGCAGGATAAAGTGCTAGAGAGAGCCTGTTGGGCAGAAACCGCTCCTTCTCAGGCTGGACGGTGGTGGTGCACGCCTTTAATCCCAGCACTCGGGAGGCATAGACAGGTGGATTTCTGTGAGTTCGAGGCCAGCCTATTCTACAGAGGTAGTTCTAGGACAGGCTCCAAAGCAACAGAGAAAACCTGTCTTAAAAAAACAAAAAGAAGGGCTGGAGAGATGGCTCAGCGGTTAAGAGCACTGATTGCTCATCTAGAGGACCAGGTTCAATTCCCAGCACCCATGTGGCAGCTCACAACTGTCTGTAACTCCTGTTCCAGGGGATCTGACGACCTCACACCAATGCACATAAAATAAAGTTAAATAAAGCATAAAAATATTTAGAAAAACAAAAAAGAAAAAGAAAGGGGAAAAAAAAAGAAAATGCTGCTTCTCCTTCCCCTGCCTAGACCCCTGCTTCCTCTGCTATGTATGCCAGAACCAGCTGCTGGCAAACTCATCTCCGTGTCCTTTATTTGTGTGCTGTGACCTCACCCCCTTTCCTCCCGGCCTGAAGGAGTGATGAAGTGTTGGGGCTGGGAAGGTTGGAATATTCCAGCGGGGTCCCCCACCTTTAACCTCGTGGACATCTGGTACCCTCGAGGCTTCTCTGTCTCTCCCCCAGGCCAGATGATCTTCCGGTCGTTTGGGATGACCTGGGGGTGGGAGTATGAGATAGAGGGTGGCCACGCAGGGGTCTCGGCCCCAGGACCCTAAGGCCCCAGCCCCCACCCCCTCATGACCCCCACCTACATGGGTGCCATTGTAGATGCCCACTTGCACCAGCTTTCGGTTCTGCAGGTTCATGATGCTATAGTTGGCAAACTTCCGGTCCCCATCCTCATTGAATTCCACACGGCCAGTCACTCCGTCGGCATACTTGGAAGACATCAGTACCCTGGGAAGAGAGCATGGCTTCGACTTAACCACAGCACCTGCTCTTCTTTCTGAGCAGCCCAAGCTCCCGCTCCTTCCACCCCGGTTTTAAGGAAGGAAAGATTAGCAGATGGTCGCTCCTCACACTGAGTGGACACCGTGGTGCATGCCTCCCAACACCAGATGGACAGCTCCAGCACCTGAGTGGGTCTTGGATGCCAGACCCCATGTCAGGGGCTTCTCTGAATGAGGATGTATGACTGTCAGAGCCACCATCCTGGTTTTACAGGGGAGGCAGAAGCCCAGAGGGCCTCAGGCCCACTAGCCATCAAATGGTGGAAATAGAACAAACCGCTTCCTTGTCTTAGCCACTGGGTGGCTTACCTGGCTGTATGTTTGCTCATTGGAACATATCAGTGAGGTTGTGTGCATGCAACCCAAATGTAGGGGCCACCCCTGTGAGTGTGCTTGTGGCATACATATGTCATGTTCCTCTTTGGGTTCCTGTGTGCATTCATTGGTCTGTGGGCATACGTATGCAGCCTGTGACTACACGGATGGCTTGGGAACGTGTGGTGGCGCTGTGGACAGTGGCTCTGGGGTTAAGTTCTGCAGCCATTCTCTTGGTCAACCTTAAATCTCTCATTGTCAATGGATGCCTGCTCTGAATTTCTGGGTCCGTAGAGGGTCCCAGGCTCCATCTTCAGCAAGAGCGTTCTTCTAGGGCACCAGACACTGTGGGAGTTAGGTAAAACCTGCAGTGGGGGCAGGCTGAGGTGGAGAAGCGGAGGCAGTCACAACTTTAGTGACAGCAGAGGTAAGGGTGCTTGTGGTGAGAAAAGGGATGGTTATCATGGTAAAGACACAGGATGCAGTGCTAGGAATGTGGACAGTCACCTCCACAGGGGACTAGCTATAGCATGTCCTAGATAAGGCCCGCTGTAAGTCAGGCATGGTGGTGCACTTAGGAGGCAGAGGCAGGAGGATCTCTGTAAGATCGAGGCCAGCCTGGTCTACAGAGCAAGTTCCAGGACAACTAGGGATACACAGAGAAACCCTGTCTCGAAAAACAAAACAAAAGACTGGCTGGACCACTCCAGGAAGAGTGAACTACGGCTAAAGAACGCCCCTTCTGCCTGGGCAGTGGTGGCACAAATCTTTAGTCCTAGCACTCGGGTGGCAGAGGCAGGCGGATGTCTGAGTTTCGAGGCCAGCCTGGTCTATAGAGTGAGATCCAAGGCAATCAAGACTACACAAAGAAATCCTGTCTCAAAAACAAAACAAAACAAACAAAAATACAAAAACAACACCCCCAATAAACAAAAATAAAGAAAGGAAGAAAGGAAAGAAGGAAGAAAGAAAGAAAGAAAACAAAAAAGAAAAGGGAAAAGGAAAAAAACCCACCCAATCCTTCCCACCTCCTAAGGGATGACTCCTCCCACCTACTGAGAGCAAACCCCGCCCACCTCTTGAACAGTGGTCCTGTCTTCCAGATGTTGGTGTTGCCCACGCAACCCCGCGGCGGGTCGGTGATGTTCTCCTTCTCTAGCAGCTCGTGGACTGCCTGCGCTACCACGCCCACAGCGTCGCTGATGTGGGCCGACTCGTTCTTGCCGTTGATGAGCTGCAGTCCGATGATGCCTGCGCAATCCCGCAGCTTAGAGACTGGACAGACCATCAGCCCCAAGCGACCCCCCAGTCCAGCACTCACCGTCTGGGGCGTAACGCAGGGCGTTCCCCGAGATCTCGCGCTCCCCCACCAGCCACACGTACCCAGAGCCCGTCATGTTCAGCATCGCGGCTGCGCGGTACACGGTGGCAGCGTCGTCCTCGCTGTGGGGCAGACCCGGGTGACGAGCCAGGACTCCAGCTCTCCCTACTCCCGGCCACAGCCTCTCTCTCTCTCTCTCTCTCTCTCTCTCTCTCTCTCTCTCTCTCTCTCTCTC